GGAAGTCCTTGTGTTGGGGACCCCCAGCTCCTGGCCTAAGAAAAAGTATGGGGGGAGGAGGGGGTACTAGCTCCTCTTTTTTTTCTCCCTTTCTTTGGGTGAGGGGGGGTCAGCTTCTTAAGTGTGAAAAGGGTGGGAGTCCCAGCACCGTGCATGGGGAAGGTAGAAAAGGGGAATCCCACCTCGCTGGGTGGGGAAAGACCGGGGGGGGGGAGTCAGGTCCTCGTATGGAGAAGGAAAAAGGGGGGAGAGGATTCCAGCTTCTCATATAGGGAAGGAAAAAGGGGAGAGCGCTCCTCACATAGGGAGGGGATCCCAGCTCCTCACATAGGGAAGGAAGAAGGGGGGGGGTCCCGCCTCCTCGTGAAGCCCCTCTCCCCCCCCTTGCCTCCTCCCCTGCCCTCCCCTCCCCCTCGTCCCCCGGTACCTCTCGCAGCCTCTCGGCGTAATCCGCGGCCGCAGCGTTCGGAGAGAGCCCGGGAGCGACAGCGAGGACCGTCGGTTCTGGCGCCTGGAGCCGCGGCAGCAGCTGAGCCCGGTACGCCCCGAAGGTGCTCTCCGGGTGCTCGGGAGGCACCAGGCGCTCGTCGCAGAAGGCCAAGAGCCACGGGCCCGCCCCGTTAGCGGCTCCGGTGGAGGCGGCTGAGGGCAGCTCCCGGGCCAGGAGCCCCACCAGGCTGCCTCCGGACAGCCCCAGAGAGAAGCGGCCGCCGCTCCCGGCCGCCCGCTGCACAACGAGCTGCGCCAGGGCCGAGCCCAGCTCCTGAGGGGACGGGAACACCGAGATGCGGCCCGGCATGGCGGCGGCCGGAAGTGGAGAGCGGCAGAGGCCGGAAGTGGGTTGAGGCGGCCGGATGTGGCGTCACAGCGGGAGGCGGAAGTGGGGGGGCGCGCCGAAAGCGGCTTCGCAGAGGAAGGCGGAAGTGGGGAGCGCTGCGCGTTGCCTAGCAACCTGCGGCCTAGTCGAGGGTTGAGGCCTCGGCCTTGCGTGAGGGCTTCGGCCCCGCGCCCGCAGCCTCAGCCCGGCTCACCTTCAGCGAGAAGCAGTGGAAAGAGACGCTGCACGCAGCCATCCCTCTGTGTTAACTCTCGCCTGGCTCCCGCGCCCCCCCCAAGTAATGAAAACACGTCACAGCTTGCTCAGCAGCACTCATTGACATTTCCTCAGGCTTCGCTCGCAGCACGGCTGCTCTCCATCCACCTCCCTGCACCCCAAAGCTCCGAGCTCAGAGGCCTCAACCCCTCACGTCCGTAACTCCCAGCCCTAAGGGCTTGGCACGTGTGAGATTTCCAGGCGTCGTTAAGGTAAAACCTAACGCAATTAAAGACTGCTTTGTTAAAAGCCTAACTCGTTAAGTACAGTCCACAGGCGGAGCACAAACAAACCCGTGTGGGGCACGTCCATAAATATCACCACAAAACCTCTCCCACTGACAGCACAGCAGTGGGGAGCAGGCACAAAAAATCCTCTCTATCAGTGTGGCAGCGGGTTAATGGGTCAGTGCTCGCTGGGTTAATGTGCTTTAGGTGAGGGCAACACCCCGAGAGAGGTTTCCCTGCTGGTGCTTTCGCTGTCGGAGGGTCTCACGTTGCGTATCAGCTTCCCGCAAGCATCATCTTTTCAGTTAATCGTCGTTTTCCTCGCAAGGTTTGATCCAGGTTTGATCATAAGGCGACTTTCCCGGAGCAAATCCTGGCGTAAAGGCATTCATCCAACGGAACGTATTTCCCCAGCTTTACATCCAGGAAATACAGCCGGTCCGATGTCTGGTGGGGGTCAAAGCCTTCCCTCTGCAGGCGGGTCTTCTGGATCTTAAAAGTGCCTTCAGAGAAGGGAGAAGAGAGAAAATATTTTGAAGGGAACGCCGTGAGAAAGAAACGCCGCATTTCATTTTCAGTCAGAGTTTTGCTTAAGAATTTGCAAATATTCTGTTTGCCACCGTGTTCCTATGTGAAGCTCGTGAAGATTTTACTTCTCCAAAGATAAGGAGTGGCTCTCTGGGTTCCCAGGAAATGGAAAAGTTCTGTGGATTCCCAGAAAACTGGAAGGACTCCGTGGATTCCCAGAAAATGGGAAGAGCTGTCTGGAATCCCAGGAAATTTAAAGCACCAAAGAAAGCAGCCAAAGCATCTCCTGTTGCCGTGGCTGCTGGTTGTGTTACAAGCAAAATTAAGGGCATGCAGACACGGTGTGACCAGAACAAGACCACGCAACAGCCCACAAAAGGCAGCAGATGGTGCAGCACAGAGTGAGAGGGGCTCAGAGCCTCTTCCTCTCTTTTCTCAGCAGCACTCTGTGCACGCAGAGCTCCACCGTAGCCACACGGATACCATTTCAGAGAGCTTTCTTCCTGCTGTGCTTCAGTTTTAAAGCCTATAACGAGCTTGTTGCTGGCTTAAGACTGAGCTCCAGCTTTTATTAATGGTATTTGTTGACTACAAGGGAGGATTTTATTACGCAACCTCTGGGAGAAGATGGATGGCAGCCAACCAAGCGGCTCCAGTTACAGCGCATTGCCTAAGGGCTGCTTTCTCAGCTCAATGCCAAATAAAAGTTCCCCCTTCGAGCTAAAAGTTGGCTGAGAGCAGCAGATGGGGATTGCCCCTACCTGTGGTGTCAACCTGGGGTGAAAGACGGAGGAAGATGGGCCGGGCGTAGGAAGGCAGAACTTTCTGGAGCTCCTGGTACAGAATGTTGGGGTTCACTTTCGTTTTAGGATCTGCGATTGCTGCCATTCCAGCTTTTCCTTCCACCCCTGAAATAAAAGAGGTGAAGACACAAAAAGGTAGCGTGAGTTAAGCATGAAATATTTAAGAGATTCAAGTGTAGATATGGGCTGGGGAGTTTGGCAGAGAGGAACCTGATGAGGCTTAACACGAGCAAGTGTAGAGTTCTACACCTGGGGAGGAAAAACAGCATGCATCTGTCTGGGCTGGGGCTGAGCAGTGGAAAGGAGCTCCACAGAGAAGGATCTGGGGGTCCTGGTGGCCAATGGTTGACCACGAGCCAGCAGTGTGTCCTGGTGGCCAAGATGGCCAACAGAACCCTGGGATTCATTGCCCAAAGCGTGGCCAGCTGGGTGAGGGAGGTGCTCCTCCCTCTGCTCTGCACTGGGGAGGCCCCATCTGGAGCACTGGGCCCAGTGCTGGGCTCCCCAGTTCAGAGCTGCTGGGGAACTGAGCCCAGCGGAGGCTGCAGAGATGCTGGGGGCCTGGAGGATTTCCCTTATGCCCACATCTCAGGTGATTCCTACTGCTCAGAAAGAATGCAACAGCATCAAACTCCCCTTCTGGCCTCTATTACATCCTCTCCTTTTCAGGTGCCTGGTTTCAGTAGAGGTGACCAAGTTCTACCTGTCCCACAGCGTGAAGCACATTTGGTATGTTTACTTATTTCCTTTCTCCCTAAAGCTTGAGAATTCTGACTTGAGATGTTACCTGGCACTTCCACTCCGTACACCGCGACGTCTGTCTGGTTGAGGATGTGACTCAACATCCCTTCCACTTCTGTGGTAGAGACGTTCTCTCCTCGCCATCGAAAAGTGTCTCCGCTGCGATCTCTGAAGTACATGTAGCCGAGCTCATCCATCACCAACACATCTCCTGGAGGGAGAGAAGACACCAAATCACCTTGGGCCTCAGCTCAGCTGTACATCACCCTCTGTTGTTCCCCCCAGATTGTCTTCTTCCCATGGAACTGCAGAACCAGCTGAGTGACTTTCCATCACCAAGCACCGCACCTCCACATTATTACGGGAGAGAACAAAGCTGCAGCTGCAGAAAAAGGGCAGAGGAAAACTTCCCCCTCCTTGAAACATAAACATTGCTGCCAGAGCAGCTCAACAGCTGGCAACTTCCAAACACTACCACATCTTCTCCTGTCAAAAGAAGATACTGGTTTTAGATGTCATTGAACCAACCTGATCTGGTGGGTGGCAACCAGCCCACAGCAGGGGTTGGAACTGGATGGGCTTCAAGGTCTCTTCCAACCCAACTCATGTGATTCCATGATTCTATAATCTTTAAGGTCCCTTCCAACCCAATCCTTCCACAATTCTATAATCTTTAAGGACCCTTCCAACCCAATCCTTCCATGGTTCCATGATCAGTGCTGAGGAACTGCAGAACCAGTGAGCCCAGTACCTGACAGGTAGGCCTGGTCCCCCTTCTGGAGCACATTGTAAGCAATCTTCTTGTGGGTGGCACTCTCGTTGACGTAGCCGTCGAAGCGACGCAGGGGATCCTGTTGATTTATCTGACCTACGAGTAATCCTGGCTCTCCTGCAGGAAAGAGGATCAAACAGCACAAGATGACACCAAGTTATGATGTATTCCATCGCATCATTGCTTGTCCCAAAGATCTTCACTAAAGCAACTGATCCACCATCAGAGATATAGACGGAAAAATCCATATACGACACCACAAACTCCTTAAACCTATCAGAGCTCATGAAATATTTGAACAAAGAACTGCAGTAAATTGCTTCAAGTCAACGCTCACCTGGGCGACACGGGACACACAGCCCCCTGGAATCACGGATCAGCTCCATCGTGTCCTCATTCACCTTCACCAAACGAATGGGATAAACGTTGGGCAAGATCCGACTGTTGAAGCCGCAGGCACCGACCTTCCAAAAGACAAAAAAAAAAAAAACCCAAAAGGCTGAAGAAAATGGCTTGGGTTTTGTATGCTGGGAATTCTCTGCTTTTTATTCCCGCTCTATTCAGGAGGGAAATTTGCCCTGAGTTTTTCCACTTTTTTTGTGCATGCTGCTCTCATTTACCAATTTAGCTCTTTATCATCTCTAGAACGCAATGTGCAGAGAACCAGGGAAGCAAGCAGAGCTTTTTCCCTTCCACTCATTCCTCTCCACCTTTTCTCTTCCCTCACCTTCCCATCCAAGTTGGCAATGCTGCAGTTGCACTCCGTGGCTCCGTAGAACTCTCCGATCTGCTTGATGCGGAAGCGCTTGGTGAAGTCCTCCCAGATGGTGGGTCTCAACCCATTGCCCACCGCCAGCCGCACGCAGTGCTGCGTCTCCGACTCTCGGACTGGCTGGTTCAGAAGATACCTGCAGATTTCCCCGATATACTGAATAATCTGAAGCAGCAAACACAAAGACATCGCTCAGGATGGGTTCTGGGCGCGCTCCAGGAAGGTTGGGGGAACAAGCGGTCGGCTGTAAGCAAAAAGCTTGATGTCACAAAGTGAATGCTGAGTGGGGATCCAATTACCACCTATAAATATTCCTTATGGGAGAAGGGTCAGATAAACACCACGGAGGAGGAAGAGCTGCTTAAATTAGTAGGTGATGTTGGCACCGATGCAAGCAAGTATTCAGTGACAACGAGCTGCCAAGAGAACTCAAGTTCTCAAAGTCCTTTCCCCCAATTACAACAGATGTTTGTGTTTGAAAATTCAGTCTTGATGGCTTTACAGAGCGAGCAGGTGAGGATGGGCGAAAGACATCCGTAAGTCTCCATCCCACATCCCTACAGTGGCACTGGCAATTCAATCACGCTGCAGCACATCTTACAGAGAACTGATGAAGGTTAGTTTGGATGTTGTTGTTTTTTCCTGAGGCTGAAGTTACCAAAGCACTGGATTTAAAAGCTGTTCTGTTTGTACTCATTACAACAGATCCTGAAAACACTGAATTTCTACCACTGCCTTCACTGGGGACAGAAACTCTCCCTTTATCAGAGCCTTATTATATTCTATAATGCACCAAGAATATTGGGATGGGGAATATTTCTACAAAATCCACTGAAAGATTCAGTAAAGGGAATAAGACAGTTTGTTTGGAGATACATGAGGAT